CAAGCAGTCTCTTCTCACTCACTGGGTCTCTCCAGGGCCTTTCCTAACACCTGCCTCCAGCCCAGGGGTTTCTGGATCTCCTCTCTCTTTTGCTGACTTTCCCTGACTAGCTGTAATTTTTTACAACCAACAACTGTACCTAACATAAGACAGCAATGAGACAAACCTTTTGTAGAGGAAGGAAGGTGATAAATATGAGAACAAAGCTACCTTAAGAGGGGCAGGGAAGCACATCTGGTTCTGCGAGGTAACAGTGACTGGGCAGGGCTTTCCTCCTGCAGACACTGCTGTGGGATGCCTCGCACACTCCTGCTCACCCCGGGAGGGCCTCAGAGCCTGTGCCTGTCCTCCACGTGGACGAGGTGCACACAGGACTGGCAGCTCCCAACCCCAGGAAGGCAATTCTGGGAGGCAGGAGCATGAAACACAGTGGGTGGGGGGCAGGGCTGAGGATATGAGGGGGAGGAACCTAGTTTGTGCCTCATCGGTGTAATCTTGAATACGCTTGGGGCGAAGGCAGCAGGGGATGCACAGTAGGAAGGGTACCCAGCGAGGCAGCCTGCTGTCCAGGGGGCAGCCAGACAGAGCCAGCCAAGAGGCAGGGGTGTGACTACGGTTCCTATCTGGCTCTCACAGCTTTGCATCAAGCAGACTGTGTGGACAGGTGCTGACCAAACTGTGCTAGTACCACTCAGCCCAACTTCAGCCCAGAGAAGCAAACAGTCTCCCATTCTTTGCTCTTTATGGTTGGTAGTTACTGATCTCAGGCGACCTGCGACTGCAGTTAGTGCTGTAAACTCAGGCCTGGATGGTGGCAGAGACCTGGAGGCAGCCACGAGAGGCCTTGTGGTGGCTGATACCACAGAAGGCCACACTAGCTCAGGGCTGTATCTCAGGACCAGAACAGTGCTGAGAATCCGACAAGCAGACACTGAAACAGTCCTGCCCACTCTCACCCCAACTAACACTCTTGCTCTCAGAGATGACACCTAAAAGCCACAGAAATAGAAGTGCAGGCACTCTCACAGAAGTGCTTCAGGCATACAGGACTCTGCGCACTGAAAGAGATGACAGCAAGTGGCACAGGAAAACAGAAGAGGCGCTGTCAGGGAAACTAAGGGGCTTTTACAGAGCCCCTCGGCCAGCAGGTTTCTGCCAAGGGAAGCCATTCCGGTTCCTCAGGGAGAGGAGGCCTGCGACTTAAGCCAGGACTCACAGCTGGCGTCCAGAGGCAGGGCAAGGCCTCACTGGCTGCGGCAGAGTCCACGGCTGCCTTCTGGGGACATGCACGAAAGCGCAGAGGCCTGAGAAAAGCACCTGAAGCAGGGAGGGCCCAGGGACAGGGAGGAATACGCCTGTTGCAGTATGCATGCAGGAGTGTTGGGACCTGTGTTTACACTGGGGAGTTCAGCTGTCTCCCCCTTCCCTTGTGTCCTGCCAGCAGGAAAAGGGGCTTCTCTGCATTCTAGGCATCTGGCCTGCTGCTCTGCCCGTCTGCCATGTGGCACAATGTAACATTTGCATGGCCTTACCCTGCCACTTCCTTCTTCTCTGAGGCCTCCCTCTGGCTTGTGAGACGGCTTTGGTGCCTGCAGGATGCTTCTCCTCTTTCCCCAATTGCCTTGGCAGTTTCGGTGCCCTTTGACTAATTCTTTGTGCCCTAGGCCTCCAAAGACATTTTTTTAATCCACAGCAGCTCCTGTGGGAACGCCACCTTCCAGAACCACCGTGCCAAGGCTGCCCTCCCACCACAGCTGCTTGCCTGCCTTTCCCACTTGACTGCTTTCCACTCTGCCTGCCTCTGTCCTTCACTGCCTACCTGTTCTGCTCTGACTACAGCATGGGTTACAGTTGGGGAGTCCCAGAGAAGCCAGACTCTGCCACTTACGACCCATGCAGTGATCTCCCCCTGGGCCCCGCCTAGATGCCTCCCTTGGATTTGTGAAGCCAGCAAGAAAGCTTGGGAGTTGGCGGCCCTTCATCTCTCCTGTTCCCTGCCCTCACCTCTCAAGCTGATGGCGTGCTCCACCCAGGGAGCCTCTCCGCTACCCTGTCACCCTGCTGATTTCCTTAGATAGTTCATTTGCTGACATCCTACTAAGTGCCAGACACTGTTGTAGGCACAGAGAAAAGCCAACAAAACAGACTAAAATCTTCCTTGACAAGCCTATGTTCAGGAAGACTTCAGCAACAGGTTTATTAGTATGACAGAAATAGTAGCTAATTTCCTCCTGTCCCAGGAGAATTTTGTTACCTGTTCAGTGTAAGTTTGAAGGATGCAGATTAAGGGCATGAAGCCTGGAGTCAGAGAGACCTGGTTCCCATCCCCAGGTGTGGAAAGGCTCAGTCACCTCCTTGGTGCTTTACAGCCTGGGTAAGGGTTAAGTGAGATCATGCAAGGAAACCATTTACCACAGCTCCCACATACCAAGTGTTAGATGGGTTTTATGTATAAAAAACTAGAAAAGCATTACTATCCCTTGCTGACGGCTTTCATTCTTGCTTCTGTTCTTCCAGGAAGTCACAAAATGATTTGGTTATTCTAAGCTACGCTAATGCTAAATACATGCTTTCTCCCTTTTTAGAAACCCTCATTATAATTCAGTTTTATGACTTAACTTTTCTGTTGCTCCTTTTATCTCTCACTCATTTGACATATCTAGCCTTGCTTTCCTAATTAGATTACACGTTCCTTGAGGCAGGAGATCATGTTGTGTTTCGCTTGCTTCTTTTCTTATCCCAGCCATCTACCCCAGTTCCCAGGAAACCAGGAAGCCTGTGTTGATCAACCCACATGGTTACTTGTAGGTAAAACTATCCTGTCAGCTAGGAAAGCAGCCTGGGGAGCTGAAGGCTTGGGGGAGCGGGGTCCCGGGAGGAAGGGGTAGAGTCAGGGCAGTGTGAAGTCCATGGGCCCTACGGCTCAGGCTCCCGGTGACACTACCATCCTGCCGGGCCGCCTTTACCTCTGTCTGTCTGCATCGGCTCTTCTTCCTCTGCACCTTCCTCTGCTGTGAAAACAAGTTCAAGGAGGCCCGTGACCCTCTGGCACAGCACAGAAAGGAGAGGGCATGGGGTAACTCTGGAGGCTTGGGAGGAACCCTGGCTAACCTGCAGGCCCCACACTTGCTGCCTCTACCCCGGAGAGCTCCATGCCCAGCACTGTTTAACAGGAGCAGCAGAGCGGCCTGATGTCACCAACCCTGCTGTTCGCCAAGCTGCTGACCTCACTGGAGATCGCAGGGGTGTGCGGCAGCACCTGTTCCCCTGGAATGATGATATCTACCAAGGACAGATTCAAGGTGTTTCCCTGGGAGATCGCTGTTGGTCTGGGGATACAACTCGTATCTTGCATTTGGGTTCAGTCTAGATGCACACAGAGGGATGCCTACATTAATACTGACTTCTGGGGAGAAAGAGGAAGAAGGGAGCTTTAATGACCACAACCTTAAAATGACTACCCAGGGCAAAGTGGCTCTAGACCAAAGCGAGTGCTGGCTAGGGCTGCTTTCTGGGCCCCACTGAAGGGCGGTCACAGATCTCCCTGCTCTGCAGGACAAGCCTCTCTGATATGGAGCAGCATGTTCAGACCAGGGTGTTCACTTTAATTCAGGCCTTGGCAAAGGGGCCACATTGGTGTGGTCAAACAGGATGGTAAAGTGAAAATCATGTCTAGGCTGTCTGAAGGGACTGAGTAGTGTCCCTGGAGAAGATGTGGGAAGGACCATGTTATCTACCAGCAAACACTTGAAAGTCAACCCGCAAAGGAGGGGCTGAACTGATTGTGGAGTTATAGATGGGCAGAAAAGATGAGTCAGCTGTAACAAGGAAAATTTTGGCTTCCAAATATGGAAGAACTTTCCAGTGATTAGAGCTGGGTATGAATAAGCTCACTGGAAATATTAAAGTAGAGCCCCCTGCACCGCATACTGGACTCACGTCTTCATGCACGCTGGGCAAGTGCTCTACCGCTGAGCTATATCCCCAGCCCTTTTTATTTTTGTAAGGTTTTTTTTCCTTTGGTTTTGTTTTGTGTTCTTTGAGACAGGATCTTGCTGTATAGTCAGGCTACCCCTGAACTCACTATGTGGTCCAGGCTGACCCTGAATTTACAGCAATCCTGTCTCAGCCTCCTGAATGCTGGGATTACAGGTATGTGCCCCCAGGCCTGCCTATTTTTATAATTTTTGAGACACGGTCTTGCTAAATTAAAAGTTGTCCAGTTTGGCCTTGAACTTTTGATTCTCCTGCCTTAGCTTCCCACCACGTAGCTTGGATTAACAGGCATGCACCAGTACACCAGCTTTTTTTTTTTTTTTTTTTTTTTAAGAGTAGGAAGAATTTATTGAGAGGAAGATAGACAGCTTCTGTCTAAGAGGGATAAAGGGGGACTTAGAAAATGGGTTGCCTCTACACCCAGCTTTTCAGAGGATTTTTACCTGGGTGCCAAGTTGGATTAATGACCTCTAAAACCTTGAGAACTTGATAAATTCACTATTTGTTTATGTGTTGACTTATTTATTTTCTGAAACAGGGTCTTGCTGTGTAGTTCAGGCTGACCTTAAACTTTAGGTAGTGCAGGCTGGCCTCAAACTTGGGGCAATCCTCCTGCCTCAGCCTCCTGAGGACTGATTACAGGTGTATGGCACCACACCTTGCCTGATTCCATTATTTGTAAAAATATTTTTTAAAAGATGAAAAGGAGAGGTTATGGAGATATGTCAGATGTACACACTATAGAGTAAAAGAAAAAACCTGAGTATCTTTGCTCAACCTAACAAAACCCTGTGAAACTGATCAAGGAGATGGTAAAAAATGCGTTGCTGCTGGGCAAGGCTGTTCCACTCACTAAGAACGGAACACGCAAACAGAATGTTCTGGAAGGGTACTGGAGCGCATGTGGGGTTAGCTCATGTCTGCCTACAGACTCAGCGCTCAGGGGTGAAGCATGTCGAGGAAAACAGGCCCCACAGAACCCTGAGTTTGATTTTTTGTCATGGGGGGGGGGCAAGGGCTCATGTTCTAAGACCTAAATTCTGAGTCTGTGTCACCGAAAGTGGCATGATCCGAGGCAGACCACTTTTCTGATAAATCACATTTCTTTCTTTCGTTCTTTTTTGGTACCAGAAATTGAAACTCGGGACCCTGAGCTTTCCAGGCAGGTGCTTTTGCCGCTGAGCCATGTCCCTGGCTAAACCACAATTCTATCACAAGAGGGCCAAACAGCAGATGTCTAACGTACCTGACAAATGACCCTGCACAATTTCCTTAAAACAACCCTTTCTAATGTGAGGGATTGTTCAACAGCCACGTAAAGGCTTGATTTTTTGAACCCCTTTAATTTCCACATGCTTTCTGTGTACTGATTTACAGGTACTAGCAGTTACATCATACTTTCACCCTCATTTAAGGCACTCAAAAGCCATTGATTTTGCATAAATGGTAACAAGTGGCCTTGAGGCACAAGTGTAGTTCATCTCCATGCCTAAAATCCCCGGGAAATTCCCTGAAGAGCGGGATTTCCAACCTCCGAGGGAGACCGATCAGGGAGGAGTCTTCTCATCAGCTGTGGAGTATTCTTCTCTAAAACAGTCCTGAACAGTCCATGAGCAACTGCTCTGCGTTTTTAATAACCCCGTGAAACTACTGCCAGGCACTTACAGACACCATGTCAGGTAAAACAGGGCAGAGGGGACCCTCGGCCTGAGGGGTCCACTGAGAGGGAAGGGAGCTCACTTGTGTAACACGTCGATCCCACCCCTGGGAAGCACCTGAGGTCAGGTGGTTCCACCACTGATGGAGTCATGGGGACACTAGGAGGTACGACGACACGTGGAAGGCTGTTTTTTCCTTCTCTCTTCCCTGCGTTTTATGTGAGAGAAAATGCTACAAGGCAGAGGTCTCTGGGAAGGCACTGCAGTGGCTGAGAGATGGAGACAGAGAAGCTAGATTCAAGGAGTGAGGACGCAGCAGGTCACGAAGTTCAGATGAAATCAGCCTGGTTATAGACAAAAGGAGAGGGTAGGGTTTCAAAACCGAACCAAGCGCAGAGAGCAGAAAGACAGCCGGGGAGCCCAGCACTGTGGGCTGACGTTCAGGGCAGCTTCAGAGTGGGATGGCGCTCAGGCTGCAGAGAGAGCTGCTGTGGGCCAAGTGCAGGCAGGAGGCGAGGGGTGAGGCGAGGCCTCGCTGCACTGCAGATCTGCATTTCTTTAAACTCAGAGCTGTTTCTCCCACCAGACGATCTGCAGGGTAAACCTGGATGTGAAACTGGCCCTCTGTGCCCGTGTGTGGGAGGAAGGGCACACTTGCTGAAGGCCTGCCTGCTCCTGGGAGACAAAACCGAGTGGTAAAACGAGAAGGTGTGTGTCAGGCAGTGACGATGCCACCAGGGTGCTGGGGACGGAGGGCAAGAGGGGAGGTGGGAGGCTGCCAGGGAGCTCTGAGCGTCACCTGAATGGAGCTCCTTCACCAGGGATGACATGGTGTTGGTGATGGAGTCAGCGGCCACCAGCAGGTCACTGTGCAGGTTTCTCCTCGTACCTGAGGACAGTGAGAGTAGATGGCAATGCAGGGCGGGACGTGGAGGAGAGAGCCAGGCCGAGCCTCAGTCCACAAGCCCTTGGGCCCGGGTGTAGAACCACTCAGGGAGACGGTAGGACAGCTCCGCCTGCCCGCACACCAGGAGACCGTTCTCACTCCGTCTGTCTTCTCCACCTGGACAGCGCAGCCTGTCCCGTCCATGCTTTGTAGCCAGCACACAACAGAACAAGCCTTCCACTCTGGAGGCCTTACCCTTAGGGACCTTTATCCTCCACCACCACCACCTCCCACTGTCTCGGCCCCAGGCCCTCAAGGCCTCCTTTCCAACTCAGTGCTGTGGCTCCCTAGCTCTCTGGATGGCTGTGGCATCTGTGCTTACTGAACCTTTTGGCTACGTTCTCTTTAGAGACCCACTCTTCCTGCTTCAGCTTGTTCTAAGGACCTTCGAGGCTCAGGGTGTAACTTTAGATTATTCCACCCAACTCCTCCTGAGGTAGCAAGTCAAAGTTGGGGAAGAGGGCAAGGCACTTTCCCCCACTCAAAAGAAAGAGCACAGAATTCAGGAGGCTTATTCTTTGCATATATATGAAGCCTCCTGCAGCTCTGTTGGAGACCAGCCCATCTACTGACCTATTTATACCATAAATCTGACTTTTTTTTTTTTTTTGTCTTTTTCGTTTTTATTGGTACCAGGGATCAAACTGCCTGCTTGCAAGGCAGACGCTTATGCCGCTGAGCTAAATCCCCAGCCCCAAATCTGACATTTTAAGCCAGTGTATCTGATCATCTAAAGCCAAGAACATGTAGGGAAGGAAGTAGAAAAAGTCTCAGCGGGAATCCTGTCCATACTTTGCAGTCCCTTTGGCTCCCTGTTAGATGTGGGCCCAGACACTCACCTTGTGCAAACGCTTCCTGCACGTCGCCCCCAACTCCACTCAGAGAGTCCGGTGGGCAGTGCGTGGGGGTGGAGCCGGCAGACGTGGAGCGGACAGGCATGGGCATAGGGCGGCCACCTCCGTGAGTGGGTGACGTATGTGGTGAGGCTGTGGCCTGAGCCTGAGAGGGTCAGAGAGAAGAGCTGTCATTTCAGATGTCTCACTTGGCTGAGGAAGGGGAAGCCCTTCTCAGTCAGTCTGAGTTAGCCAACAGTTTGCTGATGTACGATTATGTTTGAAAGGAAGGAGTCAGGCTGCCCCCAGGACTGGGGAGAGGAAGTAAGGGAAAGAGGGAGAGGACGGGTAGGGAAGGAGGGCACATTAAGACAGAAAAGGACAAAGAGGAGGCTCAGAGGAGACTGAACAGAGCAACAGGCCCGAGGGCTCAGGCCCTCATGCAAATAAACACACATCTCTGTGTCACGTATACACTGTCATGGGATCCCCCAAACCTGTGGGCAGAAAGGGTTCATCTCTACAGCAGTCTTACAGAAGGGTGAAGGGTCAGGTGCACGAGGCTATGCACAGGGCGTGTGGGGCGGCGGCTCTCCAGGGGCCCAGCCCCCACATGCGGCAGGTTCTGCCCACCCGGATGTGCTCCTGAGGTAGGGGCAGTGGGTGGAGGCCGGCTGCTTCTTAGGGGCCTGACTTGGAGGCCAGCAAGGGGTGTCATACTGTAAGGCAGGCCTCTTGTGGACACCCTGTGGGGCCAGTGAGGGTGGACACATGTTAAGTTCCTTATGAAGGAAGGTGTAATTTTAGAAGGGAAGCAAGGGAATAAAACAAGTGAAAAAAGAGTCCCAGGCAGCTACTGAGACTGGGCTCTGCTGCTCTTTGAAGCCAGGGAACTGGGTGTGGCACAGACTGGGGTTTGCCACGGAAGCCAAACTGGTAAAATAGAAGCCCAAGTGTAAGAATGAGTTCAAACAAAGAGAATGCTCCTGAGATCCAGCTCAGAAACTCCATGTACAAAGACAATGTGCCCTTAGCAAGTGGGAAGGCTGTATACCTGGTGTACAGCACTGCAACCCTGGCAGACTGAGCCAAAGAGGCGGTGGTCTATAGGGTTCTTGCTTTGAGTCATTTATATATTTTGAAAAATACAACAAAATCTTCAGCTAAATGATGTAACACAACAAGCCACTCCAGGTGAATAATTTAACATTTTTTGTGCCAAATTTATGTCAACTCAAAAACAGTACAAATAAATCTAAAGACTTTTTTAAACCACTGTTCTTTACAGCCCCAGTTTCTTTCTCTTCTCTTGTCAGAGGAAACCTTTTCAGAGATTCTGATGTCACAATTTTTACCTATACGTTATCTATGACTAAGAATGACATATGATATTGCCATATCTTTACATTTTACATGAATGGTATTTTACAATTTGCAAAGCATTTTGCAATTTGCTTTTCTCTCTGCATACTCTGAGATCTATCCTTGATACAAATACATATGAACTTAGAACTTTACCTCACACTACATGTAAAAAGGACTCACAGTAACAACTACAACAGCTACAAATATGTAATTTCTCAAAAAATATGAAAAATCTTTTGACCCTGGGTTAAAGATTTTTTAAGACATTGAAACCATAATATGTAAAAGAAAAAAAATGAGTACAACTTGTTTTCATCAAAATCTAGCACTTTTGCCAAAATAACTACAGAGGATTTTGATTGTTCTTGTCACAGAGAAAATATGTGCAATGATGGATAGCCTGAGTTGATCAAACACAATTTATAATGTACCAAAACATCACACTGTTCCCTCAAAAGGTGTACAATTAAAAAAGAAGATGTACAATATCTTTTTTTTTTTTTTTTTGGTCTTTTTGAGACAGGGCCTCACTACGCAGTCTAGGCTGGCATTGAACTCACTTTATAGCCCAGGCTGGCCTTGAACTTGCAGCAACTGACTCTCTTGCCTCAGCCTGCTGAGTGCTGGGATTACAGGTGTGTAGTATCACACCCAGCCTTTCTACAATTTTCTTTCTTTGGGAATAAAACAGAACAATAAATGAAACAAAACAAAATAGTGATAGGACAGTAGGAAATCCACAGTTGTCATCATATTATACATTGTTATCCTCCAAATAGTTGCTCAGACCATCAGCCCCAGGCTGGTTCTCCCCAACCAGCAGGGCAGCCACAGGTGCACAGGGCAGTGGGGTGGGCTGCACAGCCTCCTTGCTGATTCTGCTCCCAATTATCTTTTAATTAAAAAAACTTCTGCTCTTCTAAAAATACTATTTAATACTGTATCATATGAATAAATCAACTCAAAATGGACCAATAACCCTAAATTTGAGAGCTAAAACTACAAAATCTAGAGGGTAATGTAGAGGAAAAGCTTTATGACCTTAGATTAAGCAAAGAATTTCTAGATACCAAAAGTATAAGCTACAAAGAAGAACTAGATAAACCAAACACCACCAGAATTAAAGATATCATCAAAAAAATTGAAAACACAAATTGAAAAGACAACATTGAAAGAGAGAAAAGTTTTGCAAGTTATATATGTGATATGGGACCTCCACCTAGCACATACATACATGACCAGCAGGCATGTGAAAAGATACTCAAAATTATTAGACATTACAGAAATGCAAATTAAAACCATTGTGTGATGCCACTTGATACTCACTAGGATGGCTGTAAGTGGGAAAGACAGTACAAGTGTTGACAAGGATGTGGAGCTACTCAAATCCCCACACAGTGCCAGGGGAACTAGTGCAGCTGCTTTGGAAAATAGTACGGAAGTTCTTCAGAGGGTTAAATGTTGAACACCATACGATGCAGTAATCCTACTTCTAGATGTATCAACAAGAGAAATAAAAACACACTCCCGCAAAGTCTGTACCCGAATGCTCACAGGAGGGTTACTCAGCGTGGCCCCAAACTAGAAACTCAAATGGCTCTCAACTGATGAATTATTTAAATAAAATACGGCATATCCATACAGAGGAATATTATTTGGCAATAAGAAGGAATGAAATATTGATACATGCTACAACATGGTGAAACTGGAAAACACTTTGCTAAGTGAAAGAAAGTCGCAAATCATATATTATGTGATTTCATTCATATGAAATGGTTACAACAGGTAAATCATAGAGACTGGAGACAGATTAGCAGTTGTCTGGGCGAGCAAGGAGTTTGAAAGCTGAGGAGTTCTGGTGAGTGTAAGGTTTCTTTTTGGGGTTAGTGATGTATTCTAAAATGGATGGTGGTGATGGCCGCACACCTCACTGAATACATCAAAAAACCACTGAGTTTTACACTTTAAAATTGTGAATTGTGTGATATGTGAACTACAGATTAAAAAAAATATTATAAAAAGACACCAGGGATATAGCTCAGCAGCACAAGCATCTGCTTGGCAAGCACAAGGTCCTAAGTTCAATTGTCAGTTTAAAAAAAAAAGCCACAGACAGGGAAATATTTGGAAACTATATTTGATACAGAACTTATCTGGAACATATAAAGAACTCCCATAACTCAGTATTAAGATGACAACTAACTCAATTACAAAATGGACCAAGATTGGAAGAGACATTTTACCAAATGAGATGTACAAACAGGCTAATAATAACACAAAAAATGTCAACATGAGGAGTCATGAGGGAAATGGAAATTGAAAACACAATGTAATATCACTTATATTATTACACTGAAATGGCTATAATCAAAAAGACTGAGGGAGATGTGGGGACACTGAGAGCCCCATATATTGCTGATGAGATTGCTAAAGATGTGACCATTTTAACAAAACATTGCAGCAGTTTTTTAAAGTGTTATATGTAAACTTAATCATACAACCCAGAACATTCCACTCCTGAGTTTCTGCAAGGGAAATAAAAACACATGTCCACCCAAAATACACACAAATATTCACTGGTGACAGTTTAATGACCAAAAAGTGGACACAATCCCCAAATCCACTAACTCAGGGTGGATTAACAAAAGGCGGTACTGTGCTGCGGGATACTATTGGCTCTTTTTTATTGTTGCTACGGTTCATATCCAGATGTTCCCCCAAAGCCTTGTGAGCTCATAGGAGGGTGTCCCTGGGAGTGTGGCCAGGAAGGGCTTATTTCCCTCCCTCCTCCGTGGTCACTCGGCTTCCTGCCACCACGCCACGAGCCTTGCCTCCTGGCCTTGCCTCTGCCATGCTGCTTTGCCTCAGAGCCGGCTGACTGCGCGCTGAAATCTACCGACTGCCAGCCAACAGGAAGGGCTCCTCCTTTCAGCTGTGGGTGTCCCAGAGGCAACAAGGTAACTAAGACAGCTTCAGAGAGTATTTTACTATTGTCTATCTTTTAGAACAATTTCCACTGATGACTATACATAGAATATTGTGGAATATTCTATTTTTGTCAGTGGTTATAAGACATTTTATTAGTATTTACTTTTATAATGTATGTATCTTTTCTTCTCAGTTACTTTATAAATGAATCATGAATCCTGTTTAAGCCAGTTAATATTCTTACATATTAATTGTTGTATCTACCTTTTAGCATATTTTTAGGCCATTTTTATGTAAGAGGGGGCAAATTATAATGGATAAAGTTCATGATTTAAAGATATAAAGACTCTGCTTTCAGGATGTCAGATAGAGCTGGAAAATGCAAATGAGCGGCCAGATCTGCTGATTCCTGCTCCAATCCAAATTAGACCAGGGACCTGGGGAAAGAGGAGGGAATCTAGAGTCCCACACAGGAGAAGTTCTGTGAGCCAGCAGCAGTTTGGAAAATTATGGATCATGAAGTATGGAGACAGGCAGAGCCCAAGGCCTTTCCTGAGCCCGGAGGGGCCTGGGAAGTGAGATGCCTCAGCTACACAGCTGGGAGAATCAGGGCTGTCTATGACGGGATGAGCACCCACTGTCCAGGTGGAGATGGGGACATTCCTCCTACAAGGTCAGCCTCTGAGACATAGTGCCTTGATTCAAACTGATTTCACCACATGACAGTTACCTGGTCCCTCAGAGGGCCTTCAGAGGGTGAGCCCAGAGAGATCCCCCAGTGAATCCTCAGAAATCTTCCCCCTGTGATCTGGGCTTGAGGACTAGGCATTCTAGCCACAAGGCCCATGGTAAACATATAGCTGCTTTTTAAGGACATTAAGTTGAACCTTTACAAATATTTTTTTTTTGGTCTTTTTCGTTTTTATCGGTACCAGGGATGGAACTCACGACTGCCTGCTTGCAAGGCAGGCGCTTATGCCGCTGAGCTAAATCCCCAGCCCCACAAATATGTTAACATGAAAATGATGATGGGGAATAAAATGAGAGAGATGGGCAGCAACGTGAGGCTAAAACTGTAGGATCAGGAAGAGTAAAACCTACAGTTCACTGCCAGCTTTAGAGTCATCAGCCAGTTTCCTGGATCACTGCCCAGCAGATGCCTTCTGAGGGAAAGAAAAATCACATTCTTGAAGTTACCTTTGTTCAGCGCAGTTGAAAGAGCAAAGCTAAAGCCACTGGGAAAGTGATACTCTCTCTACTGGTCTTATATCCTACCCCTGGCTTTGGTGTCTTCATAGATTTTAACAGTGCTAGGACAGAGCTCAAGGGGCCGCTGTGAACACCGATTCAAGCAGAGCATTGCCAGCCAGCTCCCTGGGCAAGCAAGCCCAGGAGACCAGTTACATCCCCGACATGCACCTGTCTCCGCCAGGCCCAGGGCTGGTTTGATCTGGATGGGGATATGTTGGTGCCAGGGTGTCAAAGGACTGCTGTGCGGTAGTTTTCACAGAAAGCAAGTGGTCTGGCAATGGTTCTGTCGGTCTGTTGAAAGCACTGCGCTCTCTTCTTGTGCATTCTCTGGGCCAGGCTGTGTCTACTCCTCTTGTGTCACCTGGCCTGCTCCTGATGGCCCTCTAGGTGTTAGCTTGAGGCTAACTGCTGTGGGCTGAGGTGGTTCTCCTGCCCCACCACTATCTCACTTCTTAAATTCCATCCTCTGCATCTTTGTGCTTAGCACAGATAAATGCTTAGTAACTACTTGTTAAGTGACAACAACAGGAATCAAGTTTCTGGTCTTTTCTCTTCTGTAGTGGAAAGTGGGAAAGTGGCCAGAGCAGGCTATGATCTCCAGGGAGTAATAAATCTATCATCAGTAAATCTTTGTGTGAAATACTGTAATAGCTAGACCTCTGAGAGGCCCTGAATGAATGATCCTCTCCATTTACAACCTGGAGTAATCGCTGGCATGTGGGCTTTATCCTGTGATTGGTTTCTAATGAATTAATAGGGTGCCTTTTCTGAGATTAAGTAGAAAAGACTGTGACTATCCTGGCCACACTCTTGCTTGCTCTGATGAGGCCGGCTGCCATCTTGTGCACTGCCCCTGTGGAGAGGGACTGGGGTGGCATCCAGCTGTCAGCCAGCACTGCATGAAGGCCTTTATCACACAAATCACGAGGAGCCAGGAACCATAAGATTTTGTTGGGCCTTGTAGTGACCATAGCTTTGTGAGAAAGTCTGAGCTGCAGGACCCAGGAACGCAGTATCCAGCTCCTGGTTCACGAGAGCTGTGGAATATGTTCATTTAAGCTACTGAGAGTTAGAGGGTACTTGCTGTGTAGCAACAGGTAACTTATAGGCAAGTCTGATTTTAAAAACTATCAGCAGGTCAACTGCATATGACGGACATTTGACTGACAGGGGGATTTGGGCATATGTAATATTAGGACCAAAGGGCGTCATGGTAGGCCAAAGACCCAGGAAAGAAGCCTATGGATGAGAAGATGGGAGGGACACTATCAGCAACACATCTCAATATGAACATCCCTGGGGCCTGGAGTGGCTTAGCCTGTCCTGACACAGAAGGTCTCTGCTTCTTTGCCTTGCTGAGAACTTTCAGCACCTAGCAGCATTTTTCTGCTTCCTGGAGAAAGGGGCAGTGCAGGCTGTGACACGCAATCCTAGCTCTTCTCAGCACCTGGATGAACTCTCGGAGGGCCCATGGGTCTGTGACAGGACATGGAACAGAGGTTAGGGATTTGCTTCTGGACTGTAGCCCACATACCTGACCATTCTGGGCCTCTGTGGTCACCCTAAGTGACCACGGCATGCCTTTATTTGAACTGCTGTGTCAGTGAAGAGCACACTTCTGAGGGTCACCATCACGGCACCTTTTACTTGCAGTTTTCCTTCCTCACAATGCAGGCAATGCCGGAGATGCTGAGCATGGAAGCCTTATGTAGATGAAGCTGACCAGAAGGTGCAGGGAGCAGGTCCCTGTGCAGAGGATGGGATTATCTCCAGAAAGACAGAAGTCAGGTCCTTCCAATTAAACGAGCACAAACCGTGTACATAATCCAAAACAACACCTGTAACGCTGTGCAGCCCTCTCAGCTTGCTGACATCCACTGTTACCTCTGCCTGCAGGGTAGACACTGATCAGACAGGCACATGGGAAATCAAGCTGCAGCCCTGCACTGTGCAACTTCACCTTGTTTCCAAAGCACAGATGGGCTTTGTGCTAGAGTGGCAGGCCTCTCCATGAGACTGCCAAGTCCTCCTTTCAACACAAACCAATCCAGAAAAAGCAGCAGAGGGGAAGCTGGTGGGTGGATCCCACAGTCAACACTTTGAACTTACATACAACCTGAGAGTCCTGCAGAAGTCTGTCAAGGGGGAGGAGCTGGTTGGGTGCCCAAGAGGAAAGAGGTCAAGCTGCCCAAGGATAGGCTTAAACCACTGGGTGCCTCTGGGTTTCAGCTGCCAGGAGAGGAGCAATCTGCCTGGCACAGCAAGGGAAACTGCAACATGCTACTCAGGGTTCTAAGGTTTCCTGGTGTAAGCATAGTGATATCTTGTAACGTAACCTATGACTAAGGCTTGAGTTAGCACAGGCCAATCATCTGTCTAACCAGTGACTTAGCACAATAAGAGCCCTGTAACTCAGGTTCTCAGAGCACAGAGGTCCCTTGTCGTTTGAAACAATTCTGCTGGAATGTAGAGCTAACCTGAGCAGCTTTCTAGACTGCTGGCTCTTCACTTTTCAAGCCAGCAAAGACCCCGAGAACCCTGAGGACGCTATGTATCACGTTTCAAGAAAGTGATCGGAAGTTAGACTTACAGTTTCAAAGGACTCATGACTACAGAAAAATAGCCCGTTTTAGGCCAACATTCATTTCATATTTGAGAAGACTGAGACCCAGAGTAGTTGCTAGGTCCCAAGGCTGGAAGGGCACCTGGCTCTTCTGGTAGCCTCACACTGCTAGGAGAAACGTAAACATGCTGGGATCCTGGCACCATCTTTCTAAGTCAGAAGGGACATAAATTAGTCAAGAAGCTGACTATGACAGAAGAGTCAGTTCCATTTTCTGTAAGAGTCAGAAATGTGGGAGAAGAGAACAGAGGGAGTAATGACTTAGTCCCCTATAGAACACAGATCTAATACTGCAGCCAGTACAGGTACAGAGAGTGCCAGAGAGGTGAGCTGAGGACACACTGATCCCTCCCCAGCCCTGCAACTGAACACAGAGACAAGGACTCACATGGTGCAGCAGAGAGTCGATAGAAGGCCAGCTGCACAGAGAGAAGGGCACTGTCTTTAGCAGGAAAATGATACTGCTTTTGGCCGCATTTAGGCATCCCCAGCATGGTGCCTGGCACATAGTAGGGGCACCATAAATAGTACTTCCCATCTCCTTTGTAGAAGGTAGGAGTTGTCTTATTTCCTTGGTATACAAGACACTCAGGTAGCCAAACCCCAGGAGATCAGTGGCAAAAAGCCTGCCATCAGGGCTAATGTCCTCTGTGGGCATTAGAATAGCACAGTCCCTGTTCAGGCAAATCCTGAGCAGGGTGCTATCATGACAAGAGAGTGGAGGACACTGTAGTCTCCACCTCTCTCTGACTCATGGCTACCTGCCAGGCAGCAGATGGCTGTGTGGACAATTACCTACATTTTGCTGCAGTATAGTTAAATTAAAACTGGCCTCTTTGCTGCCAATTTTCAGAGGTCTCAAAAAACAATGCTGGTTGAAAGAAGCTATAAGTCTGGAACATAGACAAGATAGCCATGGCTGGATGGAAGCTGGGATGGATACAGAACTTTGAATGGACTTTGAACATCTTCTCCAACAGGAAGTGAAAGCCCCTCATGCTATTTCAAGCTGGTGCTTCCCACTATGGAAGATGCAGCTGCCTCACTGACTGTGGAATAGGGGACAGGGTGCAGATTTTCTGTGGTTGCACTGTCCTGCTGCAGGATGAGGAAACAATTGCTTACCTGGCAATAGTTCAGGCTGCTGCAAGTTAG